GCACTGGGAGTCTCTTGAAGTGCAGGAATTGAATTGTCTGAGCCGGAGTCAGTGCAGACTTGGCACTGTTGACTATGATTTCCAGAGATTCCACCAAATGTACCGTATAGTCTGTGTAACGGCACCCTCAGCATAAAAGGGTTAAACCGCCGTTTAGGAGATCTTCCCCTTCCAGAGATACAGGCACAGCTACTGCAGAACACTAAACTCCCGAACTGAATACAGGGGAATGCTCCAAACTCCTGAACTGCATACAAGGGAATGCTTCAAACTCCCGAACTGCATACAAGGGAATGCTTCAACCTCATGAACTGCATACAAAGTAGCACTCCAAACTCCCGAACTGGAACCTCATGAATAGCTGCTAGCAGACGAACAGGAAAAGCATCCAAGCAGCTTACACTCCTGGCAATCAGTCTCTAACAGCATACAGCAAATCCCCCCCAAAGACGAGGGGGTTGGGGGTCAAGCAGTGGTCTGTTTAATGAGGGCTACCTGCCCAGTATTTATGCAGGTCTCCCACCTGGTGGACACTCCCCTAGGGGACCAAAGGGGAGACTGTGACAAAGGACAGACATGAACCAATGACAGACACACATAGGTAAAACATCCCCACAATGCATCCTAACTTCCCTCCCTCTGTCCTGGAGATAATTGTGAAGTAATCCAATTATCTCCCAGGACAGAGGCAAAACTCCATTAACCACATGGCAGTAAAAGACAGTAAAAGACATAAAAATTTATAAAGTTACAACTGTTGCACAAAACATATACATTCTACCTATCCCCAGATAGCTTAGATCTGAGCGCACAAAAGCACCAAACAGCGCTCAGATCCTATGCACACAGTCCAATCGTCATGGAGTTAAAGTTTTCACAAAGTCTGCTCTCCATACGAATAGACTCCACGGGATGGCTATCTGGGGTAATGCTGTTCATATGGTTTAAACTACCGAATGGACAGGCATCCGGTTAAATAAGCCTTTTCTGCAGGGGAAAAGAAGGCTTTTAACATGGGTCCAAAGGCAACAGACGCGCAACCAGGCTTCTCCAATGCAATGTGGTGAGATTGGTCTCGTCACAGTCTGTATATAGAGATAGTAGGTTGCTCGTCCTGCAGAACAGTAGGATGTCATCCAAATATATAATGTATCGGATCCCTCGTGCTCTGAGATGGGCCACCACTGGCTTTAGCATCTTCGTGAAATGCCACGGTGCAGAGCTGTGCCCGTAAGGGAGGCATGTGAACTGCCATGGGATGCCGGGCCATAGGAACTGGAGGAAAGGGTGACCGTCTTTGTGAATTGGGACTTACAGGTAGTGATGTCCCGAACGGTTCGCCGAACGGTTCGCCGCGGATTGCGAACATAAACATAAACTTTGACCCTGTACCTCACAGTCAGCAGACACATTCCAGCCAATCAGCAGCAGACCATCCCTCCCAGACCCTTCCACCTCCTTACAGGTATGCGTCTTTGAGGTCCAGACAGGTGAACTAGTCCTTCTTGTAGGAGGTGGATTCCCTCCATCTTGAAGTGACGGTATATAACGTGTACGATTAGATCCTTTAAGTTAATCACTGGTCTGAAGTCGCCGGTTTTCTTGCGAACGAGAATCCTGTTGTGGAAGAAGCCCGCTTTTCCAAACGCAGGTTGGACCGCGCCTTTCGTGTGTAATTCGCGGAGCTCCAATTCTATGAGATGAGTGTCCATGGCCGAGAGGCACAGGGGGCGAGAGGGATGGTTCTGTATAGGAACTGTCTGAAATTCGATGTGATAACCTTTGACGGTCTGCAACACCCATGCATCTGCTGACAGTTTTTCCCAATTCTGAAAAAAAACAAAAACAAAGAGAAATATGGCTGGCGGTAATGATTAAAGTAGGCACACGTACATGATGGTAGATACAATATAATGGCTCAGAACGGAAGGACAAAAATTAATAGATAAATCTTATAAAATATCACAAAAAATAAAGTGGGCTGCTTCACAACTAGTATGAGCGACTGATATAGATGAAAATTCAAAAATAGGGTAGTATGAAGGCTCCAATAATAAAATGAATGAATAAATATAATAAGGGCCACTACTCCAGCAGTGAAAGTGTCAACTAGGCTCTAAATAGAAACTCTTATATCCAGGCCTCATATAAAAACACAATCTGATGCTTAAAATACGGCAATCCATATAATGCCTTTTTATTTGAAAAAAAGGAAATTCAAAACAACATGTGACAGTGTATACAAAGTAGCTAAATGTAATCCAGCAATGAGCTATCTCCCTAATGACAGCCAGATGTAATTTAACAGGCTAGGATGTCACTAAGTAGCCTTCCAAATACACCCTGTTCCAAATTATTATGCAAATTATATTTTTCTCATTTACCTAAATAATTGATGTAAATAACAGTCAGCATAATTCTCATGTTATCAACTATTAAGAGTACAATTCAAATTTTATTGAACAACCTCCTAATTAGAGTTGAGCAAACCCGGACTGTAAAGTTCGGGATCATACCGAACATTATGTTTTTTGGACCCCGAACCCGAACATGGACATATCAGTGTATGTTCGGGTTGGAGTTCGGTGTTCAGCGATTTAATGGCGCATTTTGAAAGGCTGCAGGGCAGCCAATCAACAAGTGCTTGACTCGTGTGCCCTTAGAAGCCATCACAACCATGCCTCCTAATGGCATCGCTGTGATTGGCCAGTGTAGTATGTGACCCAGGCTCCATATATAAGCTGGAGTCGCGTAGCGCCGCACGCACATGAGCTCTTATTAGTGTAGGGAGAGGATGCTGCCGCTTTCAGGGACAGATTAGGAAAGAATTCTGCAAACTAGTACATTAGTGGGGTGCACTTCATATCTGAGAGTCAAATAGAAGCGTCAAATACTGCTGTCACATTACAGTTTTAAAACTTAAAATCTTTTGGGTGCTAAAAAGTACATTAGTGGTGTGCTCTTTATATCTGAGAGTCAAATAGAAGCGTCAAATAGTGCGCTTACAGCGCAGTTCTAAAAATTCTAATTGTTTTGCTGCTAATCTGCTAAATAGTACATTTTGGGCTTGATCTTCATATCTGAGAGTCAAATAGAACCGTCAAATAGTGCTGTGACATAGCATTTTTAAACATTCAAATTTTTTGGGCTGCTAAATAGAACATTTGCGTCCAGCGGTGCACTTCATATCTGAGAGTCAAATAGAACCATCAAATACTGTGCTTTCAGCGCACTTTAAAAAATTCAAATTGTTTTGGGTGATAAAAAGTACATTTGGGGTGTGCACTTTATATCTGAGAGTCAAATAGAACCGTCAAATAGTGCGCTTACAGCGCAGTTCTAAAAATTCTAATTGTTTTGCTGCTAAACTGCTAAATAGTACATTTTGGGAGTGCTCTTCATATCTGAGAGTCAAATAGAACCGTCAAATAGTGCTGTGACCTAGCATTTTTAAACATTAAAAATTTTTGGCTGCTAGATAGTACATTTGCGGCCTGCACTTCATATCTGACAGTCAAATAGAACTGTCAAATACCAATATAACAATATTGTAATTCGGGGACAATACCATCACAAGTCAAACTGAGAGGTCAGTTTATAGGGAAAACTGTTGCCTGGATACAAGTCAAACCGAGAGGTCAGTTTATAGGGAAAACTGTTGCCTGGATACAAGTCAAACCGAGAGGTCAGTTTATAGGAAAAACTGTTGCCTGGATACAATTCTAAAACAATTTCCATACGTCCTTTGCAGACTACATGCTGGAAAAACACAGGTGCCAACTGCTGTGGCTTTCTGCAGTGTGCAGACCGGCAAGGAGGGCAGGGTTGAGGAGTAGTGATGTCGCGAACATAAAATTTTCGGTCCGCGAACGCGAACTTCCGCAAATGTTCGCGAACCGGCGAACCGCCATAGACTTCAATAAGCAGGCGAATTTTAAAACCCACAGGGACTCTTTCTTGTTGAAGGGGGGGGAGGAGACCTACTCTCCTCCCCCCCCCCGGCCCCCACCCCTGGGCGGCGGGTGGGGGCCATAAAGATTATGAGAGAGGGACCTACTGTCCTCCCCCTCTCCGGCCCCCACCCGTGGGTGGCGGGTGGGGGCCATAATGATAATGAGGGGGGGACCTACTGTCCTCCCCACCCTCCGGCCCCCACCCCTTGGCGGCGGGTGGGGGCCATAAAGATAATGAGGGGGGGGGACCTACAGTCCTCCCCCTCTCCGGCCCCCACCCCTGTGCGGCGGGTGGGGGCCCTAATAACAATAAGGTGGGGACCTATTGTCCCCCCCGGCCCCCAACCCTGAGCAGTGGGTGGGGGCCCTAAAATTAACAATAAGGGGGGATCTACTGTCCCCCCCGGCCCCCACCCCTGAGCGGTGGGTGGGGGCCCTAAAAATAACAATAAGGGGGGGACCTACTGTCCCCCCCAGCCCCCATCCCTGAGCTGTGGGTGGGGGCCCTAAAATTAACAATAAGGGGGGGACCTACTGTCCCCTCCCGGCCCCCACCCCTGAGCGGTGGGTGGAGGCCCTAATAACAATAAGGGGGGACCTATTGTCCCCCCCGGCCCCCACCCCTGAGCGGTGGGTGGGAGCCCTAAATACAAAGGGGGGGGACCCTATCACCCCTTCCCTCCCAAAAAAAAATTAGCTCCCTACCTACCCCCCTCACACTAAAAATAATGAGGGGGGGACCTTTAACTAAAAACCTGTTAAAAAAAATTTGATAAAAATAACTTACCATTTGATGTTTCTTCTACAATCTTCTTTTTCAGCCCCAAAAAAGGACAAATAAAAAGCCATAAGAACCGACGCAATTAAAAAAAAACAAAACAAAAAAAAAAAACGAGCGCACAAAAAAATAATCCATCTTCACCCATGGAGGGCTCCGCACAGACTGAGTTCTGCAGGGCGTGGGAAGGCTTATAAAGCCAATCAGAGTGCTCTTTGTCATTTTACACAGCGTGGGAAAATTCAAAAGAACTTTCCCACGCTGTGTAAAATGACACAGAGCACTGTGATTGGATGGATTTCAAATCCATCCAATCACAGTGCTCTGTGTCATTTTACACAGCGTGGGAAAATTCAATTTTCCAACGCTGTGTAAAATGACACAGAGCACTGTGATTGGATGGATTTCAAGCCATCCAATCACAGTGCTCTGTGTCATTTTACACAGCGTGGGAAAGTTCTCATTATTTTTAGGGTGAGGGGGGTAGGAAGGGAGATCATTTTTTTTGGGGGGGGGAGGGGTGACTAGGGTCCCCCCCCCTTTGTATTTAGGGCCCCCACCTACCGCTCAGGGGTGGGGGCCGGGGGAGACAATAGGTCCCCCCCTTATTGTTAATTTTAGGGCCCCCACCCACCGCTCAGGGGTGGGGGCTGGGGGGGGACAATAGGTCATAGTTACATAGTTACATAGCTGAAAAGAGACTTGCGTCCATCAAGTTCAGCCTACCTCACATTTGTTTTTTGCTGTTGATCCAAAAGAAGGCAAAAAAAAACATTTTGAAGCACAATTTTGCAAGAAGCTAGGAAAAAAAAATCCTTCTTGACCCCAGAATGGCAGTCAGATTATATCCTTGAATATTCTGTTCTTGCAAGTATGCATCTAGTAGCCGTTTGAACATCTGTATGGACTCTGATAAAACCACTTCTTCAGGCAGAGAATTCCACATCCTGATTGTTCTTACAGTAAAAAAACCTTTTCTTTGCCTTCCTTTGTCCCCCCCTTATTGTTATTTTTAGGGCCCCCACCCACCGCTCAGGAGTGGGGGCCGGGGGACAATAGGTCCCCCCCTTATTGTTATTAGGGCCCCCACCCACCGCTCAGGGGTGGGGGCCGGGGGGACAATAGGTCCCCCCCTTATTGTTATTAGGGCCCCCACCCACCGCTCAGGGGAGGGGGCCGGGGGGGACAGTAGGTCCCCCCCTTATTGTTATTTTTAGGGGCCCCACCCACCGCTCAGGTTTAATAGACATGCCCCTACACGCGGTATTGCGAGTAGGGGTACAATTTACTAATACTAAGTAATTTTTACTTAGTATTAGTAAATTAATAGGGTGCGGATCGAACCGCGCATATGTTCGCCGGGAACTATTCGCCGGCGAACCATTCGGGACATCACTATTGAGGAGTGGGTGGAAGATGATGTGGAGGATGATGAGGTCCTTGTAACGAAATCCCTTATTTACAGACCATACGAACAAGCCTGTTCGGTTATTTGGAGGATTACAGCGTGATTTTGTGAAAATAGCCATAAAAGCGAATAAACTACCGAACCACCGACCTCCCACTGAGGTCGTGCGGCGCCTATTGACCACCCTGACTGTTGCGGTTAACCACAGACTAATTGGGGAATAGCTGGTGGTCCGCGTTCATTTACCGAACACGTGGCAATCGCCATTTTGTATTGTCGAACACTCAGCAGGTAAATGGCGAGGATTCCCTGGAACTGATTGCAGCTACTTATTTTGTCGAACACCGCTGCTACCTCCTCTCATACTCGTTCGTACGGTGGATGGGAGGAGGTAGCAGGAGGAGGTAACACACGAATGAAGGGGATACTACTTCAGATAGCTATAGTATGGAACTTGTAGTCGGCTACAAACACACGAATGGCCGGTGAAAGTCAAACTTCAGTCGACGATTCTGAGAACTGTGTTCGTGGGATCTGAGCGCTATTCACCTAGAATATGCACTCAGATCCAAGCTATCTGGGGATATGTGGAACTTAAAGTTTATGTTGTGTAAAAAGAAAGTTATATATTTTTATTCTGTTTTGCTGAAATAAGAAAAGCCATGTTTCTTTCTTCCTGGAGATAATTAAGGCTCTCTTTGTTACCTTAAGTTAATTATCTCCAGGATGGAAAAGAGGGAGTGATTTATGGAAAGGGGAGTGCTTATGCTATAGCCACTGTGATTGGCTACTGTGATACTTTTGTCCCAGTCTTCCATCTGGTCCCCTAGGGGAATGTCCACCAGGTGGGAGACCTGCATAAATACCGGGCGGGTAGCCCACAGTAAATCAGATCGTTTTACCCCTTCATGAAGTCTTGACTCATGTTTGGGGGATTGTTCGTTTCAGCTGGATTTCGGGAGAAGCTGCAAGGATCATCGCTGCACGAATAGAAGGATCCTTTACAGTCCTAGACACCACTTGGAATCAAGGTCGTGCGAGTGACGTGTGCAGTTTGGAGGAAGAGGCGCTGGTTGGACAGAGGCACCAGCACAGCTTAAGAGGGAGCAGGGTGCAAAAGCGGAGCGGCCGTCCCCTAGCGCTCGTCAGCATGTATTATTTTTAGAATTCCCACAGTTATCCAAGTAACAGATGGAGAGATAAAAGGAAGCATAACAGATTTAACGAGCCATTCGCAATTTCACACTCAGGAGTGCAGTCCGGTGACCGGGACCCAGACACTGTTTGGGCGGCGGTCAGATGACCGGGACCCAGTATGCCTGAAGTTGAAGTTAGGAGTCACAGTGTGGAATGGATTAGCAGGGTCTGGAGCAGGGTAACCGCACGCCCTCTGGTGTTGAGCACCAGCGTTTGTGCGGCCACATACAAGGACGCTGATGCAGCTTCAGTAAAAAGAGTACTGAATACCAGAAGCCATCACCAGACTGATCCGCAACTTGGAACAGGATGTGACATTCACTGTAGCGGCTGTGCGCTCTTTCGGCGTTCTCACCCTGCTGCTGCTCAGCTGTCTGCGCTGCAGCGTAACTTTGGCCTTCCCGCTCACCGCCTCATATGCGACATGCCCACAAGGTGGAACTCCACCTTGCACATGCTGGAGGCAATAGTGGAGTTTCAGCTGCAGCACGCACGGGTCAGTTGCTCTGCACCAGACTTGCCCTCCAATTGATCAGAGTTAAAGGATTTCAAGTGGATTCATTACAATTACAGGGCCTCTAAAGAGTTCTGTATTGTTATTTGTCATCACTACCTTCCCGTGTCGGGAGTGGGTCATTTGCGCGCCTGCTGCCTTTCTTGCATTTGGTAGCCGTTTCTCAGGCTCCCTCTCCGGAATCGAACCCTGATTCCCAATTACCCATGGTCACCATGCTAGGCACAGTAAATGGCATTGAAAGTTGATATGGATGACATACGAATGCGTCGTCGCCTTGTCGTTGGGGAGCGCATTGAAAAAGTGCTCTATCATGACGAGCTGGGTTATCTCCTCCGGGAACTTGGCTTGATGGGAGTTGAGCTAGTTCTGGGTGGCCCTTGTGATGCGGCATGCCCACTACGCATGGGAGTCCTTCTCCCCTTTCCGGGTCTCCCTAAACTTTTGGCGGTATTGCTCGGGGGTGACCGCATACCGGGCCAGGAGGATTGGTGTAATAAAGGGATAGTGTCACATATTCATCCGCTTATAGAAATGTGGTTAATGACATTTACTGTCCACACAGGAAAAGTTGTGCCGAGCAGCAACCTAATCCACAGAAGGGTTAATGCTGAGCAGCAATTATGCAAATGAAACCTGGTAACTGACTTTGGGGTCAAAGGCCAGTTACAGCCTATCAGAACTAAAGGAGGGGTATTTAGGCCCAGTTCTCAGCCTGCTCAGTGCCCTGTCGTGGTTTCCCTTGTGGTTGTCTGAGAGCGCGTTCCTGTTTATAGTTTTCTACCTGTTTTTGACTTTGGCTTTGTTTATTGACTTCTCTATATTCTGGTATCCTGACTCCTGGCTTTCCTCATCGCTGTGTCCCTTTCTGTGTTCCCTGACCTCGGCTAGTATTTTTGACTATTCTTTGTACGTTAAATCCAGCCATTCTAAGGACCGGTAATACGTTACTTATTTGTCATCCGTGCTGTACAGTTCTACGTGCTGGATCAAACAGTAATCCTGACAGATAGTCTCTGATCTGCTCTTCTGGTACAGCCCAGTAAATATCCGCTGCCTTCCCCACTAGTTTGCTGGCCAGGATGGTGACCCAGTCGCTTGGGTCCACGTCTTGGAGTAGGCACTGGCGTTCAAAGTCTTGTAAATACATCATCGATGCCTTCTTCTGCTTCCTTGAACTCTTTAAAGGCATTGTATGGTAGCTTGTGGGCAAGGGTGGTTGTGCTTCCCGGCCCCTTCTGCTCCCTTCTTCCTTCATCTGGGTTTATGGAGGTCGCCCTCTGTCTATTGGCAAGGACATAGGCTTGCACCATCCAAAAAGGTCCTGCTGACAATCTCCTCTGAGGGTGACTCTCGGTAATATGCCAGGCGCCGTGCCACCTCCTTGCGCACCTCCTCCCCATCTCCGGCCCCTGGCTGGGGTTCGTTGCCTCACTGCGTGCCTGGTTGACCTCCATGAGCACAGCAGTCAATTCGGCCTTGTTACGCCCACCAGGTGTTATTCCTCTGGCTCCACACAAGTCCTGCAGTATAGGTCGCTTTAGAGCACGGTAGTCCATGGGTCTGTTGGCAGGGACATGGGATCCCGCCGCTTGCCACCAATTGAAGTGGGACCTGGGTAACCGATGGTTATCCCCTTTGATTAGAATAGGTCAGACCCATTTCCCCAGTAACCAGATGGGACACAGTTCCAGGATACAACGTTTGACAATCTTTATTTGGGTACACAGCTTTGCCTCCTGTTGCCTATTCCTCCTACTCCGCTTCCTCCTCCTCTACCACCTCCTCTTCCGGTCAGCGTAACACCTTCACCACCAACTTCAGCATAGCCAGGGGGAAACGACAGCCGGCTGTTTTAAAACTCATATGTTTGGGGGGAAAACCCCACACCGCACAGGAGCTGTGGACAGGCATGGAACAACAGACCGATGAGTGATTGTCGCAACTGAGCCTCAAGCCCGGCCAGGTGGTGTGCGATATTGGGCGAAATCTCGTAGCAGCTCTGGGCCTAGCCAGTTTGACGCACATCCCTTGCCTGGCGCATGTGCTGAATTTGGTGGTGCAGAAATTCCTGAAAAACTACCCATATATATATCAGAACTGCTGCAGAAAGTGCGTGCCGTTTGTTCGTGCTTTCGGCGTTCTCATCCTGCTGCTGCTCGCCTGTCTGCGCTGCAGCATAACTTCGGCCTTCCCGCTCACCGCCACATATGCA